AATGATGCCCACGCTCCATTAACAGTTCCAGGGCCTAGGTATTAAGCTTTTCATTAGTGTTATTCTGCACATTGTTGCTACAATATGACATTTTGCAAATCCTGTTATGTAAGGTCACCAAACTCCATGCACTGATAACAAAATATATAGGGGTGTATCATGTCTGCTCTTACTGGATATGTATATGTATTATCTGCTTTCTATTAGGGTCTAATTAAAAATGGGACAAATGCAAAATAAAAAATGCTAGAATACTGTATGAATAAAAATATGATCATGTTTAGTATTGCAATTATTGATTACATTTATGGTTTTAACTGCTGTCTGTATAATACCAGAGCTGACAGGGGCAACATTTCCAACATTTAACTCTCTGTTTTTTTTTTATGTGAATTGTTTCTCATTTCTGTTGAGATTTCTAAAGTCCTAAATCAGTGGACCTTGAAGTATTTTGTCTTTTGACATTCACATTTCTGTGTGCAGGTCCCAGAGAGGTTTATCGAGATATCCGAGGTGGCACTGAGGGAGTTTTACTCAGCCATCTGGACCGGCAGAGACAGCGACCCCTGCTGGAAGAAAGGCATTTATAAAATCATCTGTAAGATGGACAGTCCCGTACCAGACGCCTTCAGACTGCCTGGCTGTCCCATCGGCTGAGGATCAAACCACTGTCATCTGGTACATGTATACAAACGCATGCATAAAACACAAACTCACTACAAGAGGGGAATTTTATTAAAGCATTCTCAATCCCATACTGTGAGAACTTGTAATCAATTCTACAATTTCATTCATTTGGAAAAAACATAAGAGTATTTCATGTGCATGTACAGAGACATACATGCTCAAAAACACGGACACACACTGGGTGAACACTGACACTCAGTGCTGTGATAAGAGTCTTGTGACCGCACTTACGGAGGAACGTGACCGTACCATTGAATTACAACGGGACAGAACCATTTACAAACATTCCTCACCAGTCAGCTGACTCGTGAATTCCCAGTGCTGCTAAACGGGTTTGAAAGAACTGTCAAGAAAATAAGAGTTTCTGCGGCGACAGAACTGGAATACACTGATTTAATCACAAGGGAATCATGGAGATATGTTTACTTGTTGTGTTACCATGTGATACATCATTAATTCTCTTGAATATATAGTATGCATTCCTTCCCAGTCTCTTGCAGATGATTGCGTTTTACAAGACCATTCAATGCATCCCTCAGTAATCAAATGTACGGCTGACCAATGTTTACCAAGCTGCACAAGTACTTGTTGCAAGACAAAGAGACCACAACCTAAGCACATTTTCTCTCAGATTAGGGGCCCCATTCTCCTCATCATTACTTTCTATTTCAAAGAGAGGAGTCTCAAAAATCTACATTCCTATTAAACATTTTCCTGATTAAAAAAAAGTTAGTAATGTGTTGTAGTGATTAGCAGTTTCTCACTCCCAAATAATTTCGATGCTGCTCTCCCTCAGGGGTGTAGACAGAACATTAAATGTGATTTTTTTGATTGAAACAGTTATTGTTGCCTTGTGTGTGGGCTTCTCTGGAGTATCAGAATTACACTTGTATTTAATTAGTGAGTCCTGCAGCTTTAACATTTTAGTTACAGATATATTTCCATGTCTGTGAGAATGCTTTCCCCTTTTTTTCAACAACACAAGGCTTTTATATTTGCATTTATTCAAATGTAAAGGAAAAGATGGGGACCAATCTTAATTAATGTTACATAATATATTACAAATGTTTGGGGAATTGTAAGATTTTCAACTTTTAGCCACCTATCAGGGCAGTGGTTTCAGTCAGTTGTGCTTGTATATCCATCTCTTTGTTCAGTATGGAATAATTATATAGCTTTTCTACATGATGGCACAATGTAATCTAAATGTAATTAAAATTCTGCAAAAAGAAGGCCAATATATTGAATTTAAAATATTTAAATTAATGTTTTGTTGTTAACTTGATGTTATCTTAATGTTTAAATATTCACTTTTTATTTCCTTATGTGATTCTTATTGCACAGTTATTATATATGGACATAATGTTTCCCAAAGGTATTACAGAAACTTTGACTATTTACTGTATATCATGACTCTTTTATCGAGAGGAAACGTGTTGACTGACTGCTATTTGTGACGTGTTTCAGTGCATGTTTCCTACATCACATTTTGTATTGTGATCTCTTCTGTTTCCGTCATTGGTTTTATTGGTCTCTCTTTTATATTGTACATATTCTATTGTTTAGATCTGTGCCTCATTCAGACTTGAATTGACGTGATTTTTGGTGTTTGAACTTATCAGTGAATTAAAGTGATACCAGGCTATAGTGTTGTGATGACTGGATCCACATTACACACACACACACACTTACACACGTACACACACACACACAGTCCTGCTAGCCAACACTAATACCATCACACTTTAAGCCTTTAATCTAACAACACACTAAAACACACGCATTCTCATTGGATGTTAGCTTTGTAAGAGGCTCAACCCACACACACACACACACACACACACACACACACACACACACACACACACACACACACACACGCGCACAAACATGCGCACACACACACACACACACACACACACACACACACACACACACACACACACACACACACGCACACACACACACACACACACGCACACACACACGCACACACACTTTCTCTGGTATGCTGGAAACGCATCCAAACCACTGAAATCTTGTAGAAAACAGCTGCTGTTTTCTGACACACAAGCTGGATGAAAAGTCTTTAAAAAAAGATTTATCATTTAATCATCAGCTTTTAAATTAATCACCAATTATCTTTGATAATCCATACATCAGCTTCAAGAGATGAAAATAAAAATGCCCAATTTTGCTTTTCCTGTCTACCCTAAATGTAAACATATCTTTGTTCACAATAGACACACATAAATGCAAATGTTCCCTATGAAACAATTGTTTCCCTTTTTTTCCACTTTAAAAATCATACAGGTCACATTTCAGCTGTTCAAAGAAATGTGCTTTTTATTAGCTGGTATCTATTTCCGCAATGGCTTTTTGAAACCAATTCAATTTTAAGGCTGTTACTTTAAATTACATTAAAATTTGCTTTTTTGCACCGCAACAAGAAAGCTATTCAGTTTTCAAAGAACGCTTCACATCAGAAAACATGTAAAAGAGCCTTTTGTGGCAGAACTGGCACACAATATTAACTTTAATCCTAACTGAAGACTGTGTACAGCCTATCAGCCCTGAATAGGGGAACTCCATCAGTGCAGTAATTGTATTCAACTTGCAGAAAATGGGGCGAAGCCTGCGAGCTAGTTCAGGCAGTCAACTCGAGCACTTATGCTGCATTCATACACAACGCCCCTTGCCACTCTACAACCAACCAAACAGAGTCTTCTTAATATGCCGCTCTATTTAACCTGCCAGATATCTCTCTATGCATTGCTTGCTGCTGCTATTGCTGCAGCTACTCTACGTCGCTGCTGCTTGCCTGCCCCACCACCACCCCAGCTTCCACCCCAGCTTCCACCTGTAGGCTGTAGGTTAGTTATTTAATCATCACTCATCGTGCTATGTATATCTGTGGAGTGATGAGGCCCGAGCCTAGATGCCAAACTCAACTATATGCTGCTTCTAAGAAACATGTTAAAGAAACACGTGAGTTGTCTGACTGAACTTTGTTCATCGTATGACAAGACTCTAAAGTAAAATTACAGGAAAACACAGTGTAGTGCTGTTTCATTGGTGCAATCTAAGCATATACATATTTATTTGAAAAATGTGTGATACATAATCAATGGGTTATACTTTTGACATGTGTCGGTGCCAGGTAATTATTTACTGGCTGCTTAACGGTCTTGAAAATGGTGTTACATATATCAGAATAGCATGGTCATATGACATAAGTCACAAGGTCTGATTAGGCATCACCCACACACACACACACACACACACACACACACACACACACACACACACGCACACACACACACACAATGACATGCCTGCTAGTAGCTCAACATTTGACTAAAAGTCTTGCCACCTGATAGTGTAGTAACACATAAACGACTTTATTATCAGACATGAATGTATTATAATATTACTTAATATGTGTGTAAATGTTTGCATTTGCATGAATGAAAAGCAGGTTCAGCATCCCTTCCCACAGCTTTCAGTGGATCTTTCTGGGTTATCCGTAGATAATTGCTCTGTATGACATTAGTGTTGAAGTTCCTCTGCCCATCAGTGTGACAAATACACGATTTCCACGCATTTCTTTATCTGGTGGCGCTGAAGGGAAGCTTATTGAAGCTAAACCCAGGAGTCGTTCTCATGGGCAAGGTTGTTGCTGCAGGCTGCTGTTGGACCAAGAGTGAGGACGTCTGAGACATAAATCCCAGAAACAACGCTGGAAATCAAACCCTCGCACCTTCAAATTTAAAGCGTGGCATTTGTTGAATTGCATAGAGAAGAGACAGGTGAGTTTTGGGCATCAAATAATGTCATATAGCTCTATTAACATCATTAATTTTTTTCTTTTTGCAACATTTGACAAGATTTAGCTCAGTAAGATCTGCATGGAGTTTTGTATTTCCTTTTTTTTGGAAACTTGTAAACCTTGTATATGAACAAATATTTAAGTAAAGTTGTAAAGGTTTAGAAAGAAAAGGAAGACTAAAGGGGAATATCAAGACAGCAATACATATTTCTATACTGCCTTGAGTTATCCTATTCGTATTAATATTATAATTAATATATGTTTTATTTTGTATTTACATACATGTTTTTCCGTTGTAATTTAATGTAATTGTTTTTCCTTAAATGCATGTACTATTGCACTGTTCTGTCAACGCATTCTTCGATAAATTCTCATTATTTTCAACGAACAAGCTAGTTGCAAGTTAACTACCGGAGCCCGTATAAATAGGGCTCTGAGCTGTGCTATTCTTCTTAACATTTTATTTTGAAAAACAATACCGGAAGTGTCCTGTATCTCACCGTGTGTGCCTTCACGCCCCGTGCTGTCAGACAGGAGCTGGCCAGGGGAAGATGGTGTTACCGGGGCTGCTGTTGCTGGAGCTGGCTCTCTACTCCAGCTGCTTCATCTGTGGGATTGTCACCGCCGCCTCCATCACCATAGTCCAGGTGATTTTACGCAGAAATGATACAACTATCCTAATCCAACATTTACTCTATCTCCATACTCTTCCGGGTACACTCACTTTTTCACTGCGTGTGTTCCTGAGAAGTTCATGCTCACCAAAGAAAATCCCGAAATATCACTTCACAGGCTGGATTTATGGCACTTATTTGCAATTTATTCTAACTTTTTCATTCGTTTTGCATTCATTCGTTGTCTGGTTAACTGTAGAAACATATTAGTCTTTGTAACTCATACGTACACATTAAAAAAGAGACGCCCATGTAGGTGTTGGAGGTCTCGTACTCTTTGTATTAACCTTCAGTGGTGGATTCAGATTCTTTACTTGAGTAAACGTACTAAAGTAATACCACACTGACTGTACACATACTCAATTTCAAGTAAAAGTACTGCATCGAGAATGGTGTTTAAGTCGAAGTATTTAAGTATGATTAGGAAAATGTACTCATTGCAAAAACTAAAAAATTGGAAATTGTAATATTTTACAAATAAATCTTCACATTTAAAAAGCTGGAACTCTGAAATATTTTGGACCAGAACACATTTGAGCGAAATTGCTACTTAAATATAATGTTGGATGGTTTAATCTATTCCAAATAATCTTATTTTGTAAGTTTTTCCTTAGTATTGTGTGTCAAAATCTGACTTTATAAAGTATCTAATACAAAAATCTTTACAATAAATGTAGAAAAAAATGCTTCCAAAATGTAGTAGACTAGAATACTATAAAGTAGTATAAGATGAAAGTACTCAGGTAAAGTTCAAGTACAGTACTTGAGTAAATGTACTTAGTTACTTTCCACCACTGTTAACCTTTATAATTGGGTTTGAACTTCACAATACACAGTATAGGGGGAAAACTACAGAAGCACATTCAATTAGCTGCACTTATTTTACGCTACATGCTTCAGGCTCTTGAAAAACTAACATTTATTTTGAAGGTTAAAACCCCTTAAACACAACGTTCTGGTCTTCACTGATTTGGATATGTGTGAGCTGTGAAATATGTGTGCTCGCGAGTAATCAGAGAGTCATGTGTCCGTTCTCATCATGTGACCAGATGGTCCTCGTGCCCAATTATTCTCTCTACTCCTTTATGGGAGTCAGATGCTGCAGTGAACATGTGTTTACTGTGGATATGTGAGACGAAACTGAGAGTATTGAATAAAACTAAGTAACAAATAACTAAAATGTCATTCTTTCTCTTGTCTCAGGGTAATTTTGGAGGTCGGTGCATGCTGTATGGACTTGTGAACTACAACGCCACAGCGAGCCTGATCGGGGTGCAGTCCTCCAGCCCCCCCTCTCTGTGCTACTTCGTGTCGGCCATATCAGTCCTGGTGGCGGTGACGTGCTTCTCTCTGTCTCTGTACTGGGTCTACTCTCTGTGCAGCGACGGGGAAATCAGGAGGTGTGTGTGTGATTGTGTGTTCATTTTATTGTCTTCTTTTTCAAACAGGCTTAAACATCAAATCAAACTTTATTTGTATAGCCCAATATCACAAAACACGTTTGTCTCACTGGGCTTTACAGATTCAAAACAAACAACAACATTGTAGAGGATGGAGTTACAGCAAAATGAGAAGAAAAGATCGAATTCAGTTATTCAACTAGGATTACTTGGCTTTTGGATTGAAAGGAAGACAAATAATCCACTTTATTGATCACACACAGGAATAACTAAGCTAATAGTGATTCAAAATGAGGCTTCAGTCAATTTCTACACCGATAGAGGCATCCATAATCAATATGATGTGTTAAAGCGGATACCAATACAGTGTTTTTTATTACATTACAAGAGCAGCAACACAAAGGGATTTTGAACCGTTATAATTCAAGCATAACTAAAACTGAACAAACGATCAACTCTAAAGATCTGGACTTTTAGTATTATTGCTTGTTAAAACATATACATTTTCAATCTTTACTCCAGTGTCGTTCTTGTTGGTATGATTGACTGAAGCAGCACTCAACCAAGACTTATTGAATTTATTTTGGCGGATTAGGAAGATCGCGTAATTTGAATTTTCTGAACGTTTACAGACCTAATGCACCAAAGCAGGTCTTACAATCCATGCTGCAGAACTTGAGAGGAAGGGAAAACATAACATATTACCAAATCAAAAGGGACAGCGGGTCATGCTATTTTCAAATAGTCACACACATGCTGTAGTTTGACGTCATCTCCTCATTTGTTCAGAGGATGAAATAACATTGTTTTCCTCTCTTTTCCTTCTCTTCGAAAATAATTAATCTCGCAGGGATCGCCTGTGGATGAACCTGACGCTAGCTGTGAGCGGAGTCTTCCTCTTCTTCCTGCTCATCACGGGCTGCATGCTGAAGATCGGACGCGACTCGCTCTGCAACTCTGTCCTCCAGAACGTGCCCAACATCACCAGGTGACACACACACACACACACACACACACACACACACACACACACACACACACACACACACACACAGAGAGAGAATTCAGCGACATGCACGGACATGTCTACACCAAACCTCTCACATTCAAGTCAGAAATGAAACCTGAAACCCTGTGAGCTTCACTTCATGTTTTAATGCTCCTTTGTCACCATTAATAACACTTTCAGTTGTTCTGTCAATAGAAGCTACACTTCCCTTTACCTTGACATGAATAGCAGATGATACATTACTTTAGAACTCTTGAATTCAAGTATTTAATGAGGATTTTAACGGAAGTCTGCCAGTGAAGATGTATCTGTAACTGTTAACACTGATATGACTGAAATGATGGGTTAATGATGTGTAACTTTCTAACATGCAATCTGCTTCTGTTTCCCAAGATGTGAAGAGGCCCAGGATAGAAATTGGGTCAGTCCGCTTAAAGGGGAAAGGTTCTACAACAGTCTGCACAAAGCCGAGGTCAGTGGACTACTTTCAGATATGTCATTTATAGGACACATTCACAAAGGGGAACAACAGAACTCAGTCAACATACAAACTTATAAAAGCATTTGTAATCATTAATCTCGCATAATGACTAAAACATTTAGCTCAATTTGGGAACCTCAAACTTTCTATGTGTTCATAAACCGTATAGCAAAAATATTAGCATCATTAAAATGTTAGTTTTCATTCAAATAAGGTCAAACTCTTGTCTTAGTAGTACAGGGACAAGAGGATTTATTTACAAGATGTATGAATGAATTGTACATAGATGCTACAGAAATGTAGATCAAAATAATGTCATTACTGTTCATTCTGGCAAGACACTATAAGTATGCACAACTTGTCCTCTTTCTTATCAATGAAAAGAAAACCACCGAAGTACAAATATAGGTGTTTATTTGACCAACTTAGTCTTTTTGTGTCTAGATTCCTCCTAAACTCACCATAAGTTAGCATAAGATAAAGCCTAATTGCATATCATATTTCAGAACACATGTTAAACAAAAGAATAATTGTCTTAATGTTAGAAATCAGTGCGTGTCTGCCACAATAAAGCTTCCCCCCCCCCCCCCCCCTCAGGCGGCGGTGTGGGTGAACTTCTTCTTCTGGATCACCATCGGGGTCCTGGTGGTCCTGCAGAGGCGTCAGAGCTCCGTGTCCAAGATCATCGCAGCGGGGTTCGCAGGGTACGGGGGGGCGGCGGCGGGGGGGCTGTTTGGAGACGCGGGGGTCACAGCTGCCGAGACGGAGCCTTTCTTTAACAATCCTGCAAGTCCACAGTGAGACGATATCACACAATGATGACATACAGAACACGTACTATTACAGCATGATAATGTGGGAGGGGGTAAATATATGTACTTTGTATTCAGTTATATCACTGAATATATTTGTGAGACAACATAGAACACAGTATTTTGTATATTTCGCTTTAGGGTGTATTTAAATGTGTGTGCAATAGAATTGAGGATGGGCAGACTGACCACATTGTCCAAAGATATTTATGTTTACCCGTTTCCCAAATGTAAACACTAACGCTAATACAATACAGTAGTCTTTCACTGGATCACTCAGAAATGTGTGTTTGTTGTATTTTGTTTACATAACAAGAACTCTCATTTAATCAGTGTTCTGATTTTTTATCATTTTTGATGTGGCAGATTTGTAAGACATATTTTAACTAGTTTTATACATTTTTTAACTACAAAGCCAATTTCTTTTGTATAGCCTTAAAAGCTCTAATTTTTGGAACAAGCCTTCTTGACTCGGCACTGTCCAACATTTCCGTAGTGTTACCTTGGATGAAGAGTTTTCGAGTTCAACGCCTAGAAACGTTCCCACACAGCGAAACAATTCCCAAATCTAAAACAATTTCCCAATTTGGGATCAATAAAGTTGATCTCATTAAAATCCAGGCAGAGGACTAGTGTTCCTACTCGGTGTGCCTTTAACAACACTTGCTTAACCCTTTTTTATAGTGACTTCCTGTCATGTGCACACACTTTTTTATTCGGTAGGTTGTGTTTTCTCTTTATTTATTATGAATGATTGAATTTTGCATTGAGGCCAAATGTCTTCATTTTGTCTTAAAATGTTTGTCATGAGATCTGGGATAGTTTGGTCTCACTGTGAACGGCTTAAAGAAACACTTGCTACAGTTTGAGAAAATGGGCACGCAATTACGTTACAAATCCTTTCAAAGTGTTTGACATGGTGTTACATATCTGCTCTAATATCCAGTGTAGGGTCACTCACAGGTGGTCATCAAACGTCTGTCCTGTGTTTGAGATATTGCACCTAAAAAGGCTGTTTTGTACTGATTGACACATGGCATGCTACATTTTTAACCAATAAACCAAAGACTTAGAAATACAATAACTCAACTGGTTTTCTTCTTTCTTTAAGGGATGGAGATATAAATGTTGACCTGTGTCGCCCTCTGCTGGCTGATAATAAGTACTCAGCTGTAGCAGAGATACATTACTAATATCTTGTATGTGTTAAATGAAGTATAGTCATTTAATGTGAGGTATTTTTAGTTAATATTTGAAAAAGGTGTATATATTCTGATGAGTCGTGATTTTATTAAGGTGGCTATTAAGGCATGTAATAATGTATGTGAAGGTGTTTTCCTGCATTGCAATGAATGGTGGTCCTTTACAACTTTTTTCACTTACAAATAAAACAAAAATAATGTTTTTTATTCTTAGACATGACAGCAATTTCAAACTGCCAGCTTTCACCGAAGCTTGTGTCTCATTCTTAGCATGAAATCTCATAAATTAAAGCTATAACGTGTTGTAATTTGTAGCCAGTCCATCACCTAATTACGTCATGGAGATCGTGGCCGGTTAGTTCAGTTGGTTAGAGCGTGGTGCTAATAAAGCCAAGGTCGCAGGTTCGATACCCGTGCTGGCCATAGTAGTTTTTCGGTCTTCACAAGAGATAGGTTACCTGTGTGACAAGTTCTATGAAAAACACCTTTCCCAAATCATCCTTCCATACAATAGTATATATACATATACATATATGTCCATCAGAATTGATAGTGGGTGACTAATGAAATCCTTAAATTGGTTAATTAGACAGTAACTCCAATTGGATTCCAATTTGCTCTACCTCCAGTCTGGAGTCAATTGAGAGCAAAAGTTTAAATTAAATTATTTTTTACCATACTATCAAATAAATACTATTTATTAAACATATTTGAATAAAAACATTGAAAAAAACACAAGAAAATAATGAATTTCTGATTTTGATATTGAACAAGGTATGACTGCAGGAGTTAAACGCCATTGCCTGACAGACCAAAATAGACAGATTACTCCTGCTATGACAACATAACTCCTACGCTGTCCCTAACTGTCTAATCTGTGGGGATTACCTGACCTCGTCTGAGCTCTGAGGTACAAGAGAGAGGAGAGACTGGACGTGAAAGAAGGAGACGGATGGTGACGGAGTGGAATAAATAAGAATATAGGGAAGACTTACCGGCACTGGTAAATGAATTTCCAACAGCTCCCTTTACCATACACCTAATGCAGAATCCCTACCTGGAATAACGTTTTTCTATCATATATTTATACAGGGAATCTGTAAAGGACATTCAAGAAGAGAGAGAACTCTGGAGAACGCTGAGGACTACCTCGACTCTCAGAAGCCCACCAAGCTTGTGATAAAGTTGACTTTGGAGTACAAGGTACTGTAAGACCTTTTTGGCTATTACAAAAATAACCTGTGTGTATTCAAACATATCTAAAGATATAGAGAAAAGAGGTTAGAGTCTGATGGTATGATAGGAATAAAAGAGCGTCATAGACGAGCAGTAGCCATTGAAGACTAAGTTGAGCCTTGATAAGCCTCTTAAAGCCACTTCACGTTCTCCCAATCAAATGTTCTGAATACAACCTGTTGATCTGTACAGGACTTTTGACTTTTGATTGACTTTATCTGCTCTTTTTGGCAGGATAGTTTACCGCCAAACTAGACAGTACAGAAATTTAAGAGTCTTTCAATCTCAAAGTTCGATAATAAAGAGCCTTTAAAATGGAAAAAACATAATTTAATTCAGCGTTTTTCAAACATCTGACTGCTTAAAAGTCACTAAGCCAACATCACAGTTTTGACCTCTGACCTCCCTCCCTCTGTCTGTGCAGAACATGTCTGATAATCAGTGTGACTCTGTGGCGCTGAGCGTGGAGTCCCTGCTGAGCGATGCTAAGAGGATGCAGCTGCAGTGCAGTGAACGCAGCGAGCAGCTCTCCATGGCCGCCACGCAGCTGAGGGTGGAGTCGGCGTCGCTGAGGGAGCAGTGCGAGGCCACGCAGCTCGACATGGTCCACATCCGCCGGCAGCTGGAAGAGCTGATGGACACCAAACACGCCATCGAAGCCAGGGAGAGGCAGACGCGGAAACTCAGCAGGCACCTGTGAAGAGACACGGGGGAGCATAGAGGAGTCATGAACTGTTCTGCATGATCTGCACTCAGGAGGGAAGTGGGCTGAGGAGGAGATGAGAGGAATGGGTTTGGAATACATTTTTGAAAGTTAGTGTCAACTTCAACAGATCCCAGAATGTAGTTTCAGACAGAATATTGTTTAAGATTTTACAGAAAAAGCTACTGAATTCTGAATCTGAAGAAGAAAGTAGAACCAGAGCCTAATAAAAAAACTAAACTGTGTGTGGTTTGCTGGGGAAAAAAGAAAAGAAAGCTCTTTATCAATGCTGACAGCTTTAGGCTTGATGTGAAACAGATGCACTTGTGAAAATACACAACAGCATTTCTACCAAATGTTCATGTCAAATAAACACAGTCTAAATACACGTATGTCTCTTGCTATTCTCTGGCAGGTCTTCATGTCTTATTTGGTCTTCATTTCCTCACTTTCTCACTTTAACTCAACTATTTAACAGTGCATATGTGGTAGGTGGTCCAATGTTTATTGGAGTACACTATTTGAGGACGAAACAGCATCCACAAGGTGGAGAAACCCTATAACTGCAGCTACTGTGGGATGACCTTCAACCAGCTGTCACAGCTGATATCATACCAGATATTTATTACAGGAGAGAAACCCTACCAATACAACCAGTGTGAGTATGTCTCAGCACTTGGTACACCAACAGATGTCAGGTCCCTGGAGTAACACCAGGGGAAAACCGAGCTGAGGTTCATTTTGCAGAGGGGAAGTCCCGCTGTTTTCTTAAGGCAGAGAAACTATACAGATGTTATGAGTGTGCCAAAGACGCTATCACTCTGAGCTCTGCTGGAAGAGCTTTGCCAAGAAAGGATGTGTCATCATAAGATAATGCACACAAGAGAGAAACCATACCACTGTGATAATTGTGGGAGGTACTTCAAATGTTCCGCTCAGAGCAAAAAACGAAGAACTAGTCAGCGTTTTTTTTCACCTTGTAGGCCTATGGTTTACATTCTCAAGTTAATGTGGTTTATTTGTATTTCATTTTAAGTTCCATACATTTGTAATTCTTATTCCCCATCTATCCACATTTTCTTGTCAGTAAAAAAGGCAAAGTAGTGCTTTGTATATCTAGTTTTGACCTAGCTAGTCAGTGTGCATGTTTAAACCAATAACATGTTTGGCCACTAGGGGCAGCAGATAACGGTTGCTAAAGTTGCTAGCTAACATTTATCTCGTTACACATCCGGTATGGAGCAACGGTGGCCGTGTCTCAATTCAGGGGCTGCACCAAGCCCCCAGGAAGTGCGCCGGACTCTGTGCCCAACATTCGTTGTGTCCAAACGGCGGTACTGCAACTTCCGTATCAGTCCGTTACGTCACCCGGTCCAAAACAACTTTTTCCCATTGACTAACATGGGGAAAGAGACGTCTGTAAATCGGTGGATAATTTTTTTTTAATTAAATAAACTACCCAGTATTAACTATTTTATAGCCCTTATTAGAATAATTCAGTCCTTAAAGTTGTAAAATGCACTAAAAGCCGAATCTAGATTTATTTTCTCTCTCCATTCATTCTAGTGAGCCGAGAGTGGGAGCTCGGGGGGCGGGGCTTAAGGGGTGCATGCTCTGTGAGCGCACATACAGGTTCTTCTGCTCTGGCAGCCAGGCATGACGGGTAATCTGTGACGTTTCGCTCTCTCAAAAGTTGGGCCATTTTGACTTCATGCGCCAATGAGCAGCTCTCATAGGAAAGAACGAGACCCCGCCTCCCACGCTGTATCCAGTTCTTATTATACATCCATGGGCTGCACCCTTCGGAGGCTGCATTTGCAGACCGCATACGTCACTTCCGCCGAAAGAAGGCTGTCCCAATAAAAAAAAAAGACGAGACTCCTCCGAATGCGGCCCACGAATGCGGCCTTATTTTCCCAGATTTGAAGGATACATCTGATGTATCCTCCGCAGTCGACGAAGGGAGAGGCGCCGGCACGGAGCTCCCGTGCCCGCGGCGCCCTCCACCTCTTCGGCCCACGGGGACGGCTACCCGACCTCGGCAGGCTCCGCAGCAGGAGAGATCGGCCGGGTGGGGTGCTCCGTCGTCACGGAGCTGACTGGCGGGGGGAGGAAGCGTCTCGGCGAGGGGAGAAAATCTCTCCACCCGGGACGCGAGGGCGAATCCCGCCTCCTCCCTGTATAATGCACAGATCCCTACGTTGTCAAATAAAAATGAGGTTGATCTGTATCCAAGTCTGAGTGTCATTTGTTTCCACAATTCTACACTAACACATAATGTTGACCGTACAAATTCCCCACTCGCTGCCCCAGCTGTAGCTCCTGTAAAGGAGGTAGCTAGTGGGCATGCGCAGATGAGAGTGATAAACCGCGTAAAGACTCCGATTAATGCAGTTTACCGTAGTGGTAAAGGGGACATTATGGCGGTCCGTTCAGGGACCTCAGTAAAAAAAACGGCCCTTTCTGTGTCGACCCTCCATGGGCAGAACTTCCCTGCAGTTTTGCGGCGGAACGGGTCACCAGGGAGTACCACAGCTTTATAGCTGGGGCCCTGCAGCTGAGGGCTTGTCCCCTAACACAGTGTTATGGGGAATGGAAACTCAGCTGTGTGTTAACAAAGTGGATGGACAGGACGCTGAAACGGGGTTATTCACTCCAGTTTTGCAGCATCCCACCTCCATTCAAAGGCATGCGAGAGGTAAATCTATCATCCCAGGAGGAGATGGGTTTCCTCTCAGCAGAGATTCAGGCTCTGGTGCAAAAACAGGCGGTGTCTGTTGTGCACCCTCAGCACAGAGAAAAGGGTCTGCCATGAGGGATTTGACGGCAGGTCAGCCTTTAGTCAGCCACTGATGTCGCGGTTTTTACAGGGGGTCAGGAGGCTGCGCCCAGTAGTGCACGCCTCCGCCCGCAGTGGGACCTGCCGCTGGTGCTCGAGGCTCTGGTCTCAGAACCATTTGAACCTCTGGAGCTCTCCTCCCCGCTCTGTCGGTGCACCCGAGTTGCTTGTTGATCCGGGGTGACCAGAGCGGGGCGACACTCAGGCCGAACCCCTCCTTTGTGCCCAATAGCCTAAGGAGTGCGTTCAGGTCGAGGGCTATTCAGCTAGGGGGCTTTAGTCTTCCACCCCATGGTGGGGCCAGGGAAGCTAAACTGCACCTCCCCTGCCCGGTGTGTGCGCTAGCATGTTATGTGGAGCTCACGGCTGCCTTTAGACGCACCGAAGAGCTGTTCGTGTGCTTCGGGGGTGACCGGGAAAGCTCTGTCCAAGAAACGCCTGGCAGGCTGGCTCTGCGAGTGCATTGCACATGCCTACGGACAGGCGGGGAGAGCCTGCCCCGCGGGGGTCCGTGCACACTCTACACGGGCTGTGGCTGTGTCAACAGCCCTATTCAACGGTGTGAGTGTAGAGGACATATGCACGGCGTCTTGGTCAACACCAGGCACCTTCATAAAGTTTTATCTCTTGGACATATCTGGCTCTTTCTCCTCGTCTGTGCTTGCTGGGGTAACACAGGACTGGTGAGGAGGGGGGTGCTGTGGGTCAGTGGGCATCTGACCCCCTCCCCCCGGGCACAATGCGCTTACGTGGTGCGCACTGGGCCCTTACGGGGCTGGAGGGCTCTCCTCGCCTGCCTGGGGGCAGGAGGGGAGAGCCCTCCACACTATAGTCCACGCACACTCTGCACGGGGTCAGTGTCTGAGTGTGGGGGACATGGGGCACTTGCGCTCTCCCCGTGCTCCTTAAGAACTCGGGAGAGGTGGTGCACAGTGAGCCCATACAGGGCTGGGGACTCTCTCCGTCTGCCTATGGGCGGAGGGGGGGAGCCCTCAGCACTGTTTTCCGAGCACACTTTTCGCGAGGTAAGCGCGTCAGAGTGTGCTCTGTCAGCCGCGGCCCAGACTTCTCCACGGTTACAACCGAGGTAGAGGAGAGTGAGGTGCAGCGGCTGCTAACCAGAAAGCCGGTCAGGGGCAGTGGGTGGAAAGGTGTTGTTGGACGACAGCGTGTGTATACATCGGGGGTTCGCCCACTGTACCCATAGAGTCCAGTAGAGGGCGGAGCCTGTGAGAGATATAACGAGGGGTTACGTATTGTAACCCTTGTTATATTAACACAGGCGGAGCCCTCTACTCGGGGCACTGTATGTCCTATACCGCTCACTGATGAGAGGTGTAGGATGACAGTCAGGAGGCGAGGCCTCCTTTTATACGGTGAGATGTGCGCGCATTCAGGTAGGCCCGCCTCGGGGCCGGCTACGTCTATAGAAGTCTCAGTAAGTGAATGCTTGCATGATAAGGTAGTACCCATAGAGTCCAGTAGAGGGCTCCGCCTGTGCTTATATATGTTTCTGGATCCTTTTCAGCTGAGTTAGCTTGTAAGCTAATTTGCTAGCAGGCTGCTGGAGCAGCGCAAACGAACAGCGTGTATCACGTGACGTAAACAGGCAGTGCTCTGTAGGCTAGAGTCGGTCTCATTTCGTAGGCCGCTCGGTCCAGCCTACCCGGTCTACGTGGGCTGGGTCCTCCGTGGACCACGTAGGCTGCGTACTCCGAAGGGTGCAGCCCCTGAATTGAGACACGGCCAGTAATTGGAGGCGTGTTTCTGGCGGGCTTTTGATTGAAAGTATCTCTCCCGCTGTTATCACAGTTTTCAGAGCTGTGGCTGAAAACAAGTTAGTAAGAGAAGAGTATAAAGCAAAACAGTGTAAGAAACGGTCCTAATAATGCACCGCCCGGGTAGCACGCTATGTGAACGACATCAAACACACCTGTACGTCACCAACAGGTGCATTCATGGTGGATCTGCAGAACCTCGTTAAACCTTTTTATTTATCTGAAAAGTGCAGAGGACTGGTTGTGTAATGTACTGAGAATAAAGGAGCAGAGCAGATAACTCTGGAGCACAGAGGAGGACTTCATACAGGTGAGTGCTACAACAAATTGTTTTTAATTTCGGTACTTTATCATAGAAAATAATGGCTATATGAGTTTGCTGAATAAATTAATGTTATTTTTATTGTTGGGGAATAATTTGCCCTGCATGTCCTCCTTCGCCCTCTGATGCAGCTGCCCAACCTTGAGCAGCCGTTATCTCCCTTAAGGAGGGGCTGCCCTAGCATATTGTTGATGTTGCCAGTTTATGACCGGGCAACTCTCGGTCAGAGATAGTTATTGTTATGGGACACCTGGAACACATCCTTCTCGGGGTGTAGATGACCCCGAGCCATAAGCGACAACAAATGTGATTCAGTTTCACCAGCTGTTTAGTCTATCTATTGAAGAATGTTGATTATTACACTCTGAACTAGTTAAAACCTGGAGCGACAGGAGGGGTCTTCAGAATTGATTGTGGCATCTCAACCGTGTGGTCAACTCGTGGCCCGTGACATGTCTTGTGAATTCTCCGGCCGAAGCTCCAAATAAACCTTCAGTGTTTGCCATCAAAGCTCCAGCTCTCCTCGTGTCTCTCTTTGAGTCCTGACTCCAATTGCTTCAGAAGTTTCCCCCACATTTATCATATTATTTGACTTTGTTGGCATTACAATCTATTGAAAACAAACCAAAACCTTTTATATTAAAGTGAAGTCAAGAGTTTATATTATTAATAACACATCTATAGTGGGTATTGTGCCAAAAATATATGGAAATGCATCACACAATAACATAAGTTAATGTACTTGACAAAATATTGGTCACACGAAACTATTGTCAACAACCACTGGCCTAGCATTAGTGTTTTGTAAAATATAAGGTATATATAAGTAATACATCTGTGTTGTCTTCCTTGGCTGTTTTATTCTGCTGCTGATTCGATAAGAAGTGTCTTGTTATTTGATTTATGTGGTATGTGATTTATAGTTTTTACATCCACCGTGGTGGAAATATATACTTCTTTGTTTATGATTGGTCATATTTGTTCAATCTTTGTGTCTCTATTCTGATTAATTATAATGAGGCTACACTAAGGAAGACTGTTGTATTTTTATTATTATTGTTAATCATCTGTTCAAAAAGACTGCCAAGTGCTATAAATGGAGTGTTTCGTTGTATTGGAGATCGGGTTATGGGGTGAACAAGTGTATCTGTTGACATTCAATGCTTCTTATTTAGCGTACAGACACAAGTACACCCACCTTCTCACTTAATTCTCCGCATTAAGCTATATTCTAAAATGTCAAACCTTTTCTTAAGAGTATATATAGTGTTTGCGTGCAGTCATAAAACCTGGAGCAGGAAACAATCACATGAACACGTAAAACTTTGTGTCACAAAAGATTACAATTTTAATCACCATTATAAATCGTTCTATAAATACATGGTTTTCATAACATTAAGAATTTATTTTAAATAGCAATAGATAAAAACAATTAGTCGGTGGTTGGTCAGTGGGTTCAAAGACACGGATTAAACAACACAACAATCTTCTGGGTCTTAATGAGACAAAACTGTAACAATTAGTGGAAGTCACTGAGTGTGTGTGTGTGTGTGTGTGTGTGTGTGCGTGTGTGTGTGTGTGTGTGTGTGTAGTTTGGTTTCTTTGCCCGGGTCTTCAATTCGATCCTCCTTCATCACCGCTCTGTAAGAGAGAAATTAGAAAGGCTTACAGGAAAGAAATCTAAACAGTATGAATATTGTTGTCCTGTTGCATATTTGTTTACCAGTTAAGCTAAATATGTTTAATTGCAAGGAAGTGTCAGGAAGACTTACTTTCTAATTTCATTTTTAGTGGTGTCAGTGCTGCCTTTGCCTGAAAAGCACACAGAAACAATACATTTAGCTGCTGTGTGTGGTAGGGCTGCTCAATTAATCGTATTTTAATCGCAATTACGATTATGGCTTGTAACTAATACGAAAACAACGTCATCGAAATAAAACGATTATTTTTTATTATTATTATTACATTTTATTTTATTTTTTCAAATTAATCTTTTTTTGTATTGGTTTTTCAGTTGAATTATATTTAAAGTTCAGGGTAATCTACTGTAAAAAACATACTGTTCACATTTTTTTTCTCCAATAAATTAATGTTTTCAAAGTAAATGGATAATCGTTTTTAATAATCGTGATATCAATTATTGACCCAAATAATCGAGATTATGATTTTTGCCATAATCGAGCAGCCCTAGTGTGTGGCTCAGTGTTGTGACATTAAGGTCTTAAATCATTGTTATTTTGTGTAATGCCAACACTAAAATTGCATTTAAGTGCAAACCCGGAGAAATGGAAGAGCAGCTTCTCTTTTTGTACCTTCTTGATAGCATTCCAGTCTTCAAGGATGTCGATTTCCCTCAACATGTAGACGATGAAAGGCCCTGTGAGACAGAGAGGTGATGGATCAAATCACAATTCACAAACTACAAGAAGACTCTGTCATAAAAATATGAAAGAAGAAGTTTTACCTGAAACCAGAGCCACTTTCTTTTTCCGCTCCGACCGGCCCAGCAGGTTCTTTCTTTTACACTTCTTGCCCCTCGTCTCATCACTCCACTCTGGAATGAGACAAATAAAACGTCCATTACTAAACTCATCTCACTGTTAGATTGATTTATTCAGACGAAATAGGCCCCTTGAGGCAAATGTGTGATAATGGGCTGTATACATGAAAACAAACTTCAATTAATGAATTAACAATCATTTAGTACACAGACTTAGCATAATGTATTCAGATTTATTTTTTCATCTTTCTAAAGTTCTAAAAGTAATGACTTCTTGATGGAATGCAAATGAAGATACATAATATGATCTTTTTATGGGCATAATTAAAGTCATTTACTAAATGTATTGAAGCCGAAATAGATTTAGTTGTAATTGTGGGTATATCAATGTAGATAGGGGAGGTCTATCAGCAAACAGTCCTCAGACGGCAGTGAAATATACTGATTTGTACCTGAGGTGAGGTCTGTATTCTGTCTGTCCTCCTCCAGTCTTCTGATCTTCTCCAGCAGTTCAGACTTCATGGCATCTAACAGCAGCGACCGCTCACTCTGTAGCACACAATCATACACAAATACGTACCAAGTTTGTTCAATAACATTGGCTAAAGTGTATGTGTGTAGTATATTATCTGTGTGTGTGTGTGTGTGTTACCTCCAGGTGCTGATTTGCTCCTTGTAGTTCACACTCGTACTTGTGTTTGATCACTTGCAAACACAGCTCTCTGTACACTCCTGCAGTTAAAGACAGAGAGGATACTAGGTTTTTTTTTTTTTTTAAACAGTGACTAAAAGGGACTATTTATCGATTATAAAACTTGAGAAATCCAATATATGCATGACGTACAAATATTTCTGCTGGAAAACACACATTGCAAATTGTGCATCATTTGTTTCAGATATGTTTGGCACATAGTGTGGTGCATGTTAGATTCTAAATCACCCTAACAATGTCATATTTTTTGCATAATCCCAGTTTGGTCCAAGCGGCTTGCAGTGTAAACCATGAGAGTCAGAGAAATCAACACTCATCATAATTTAGTTTTCTTTGTGTGTTTGACGTACCGGCCACTTGCGTTCGTATCCGCATGCTCTCCTGCAGAGCTACCAGAGGTTCTCGGTATTCTCCAGCCTTTCCTGTCAGCACCTCGTCCAGCTTCACCTTAATCTGATTCTGCCGCTCTCGAAACAACCTGCGATCACATAGGAGTCGTTTTTTTCTTCTGTCTATCCTTCATATGACGGATTATTTCACACCAGAGGGACAACTTACTTATCCTTTAGCTCCTGAAATTGCTTTTCCAGATCCATCATCTCATCTAGACATTCTCCTCTCCTCCGCTCACAGTCTTCATCGTCCATCTCTTAACAGAGGAAGACATATCAAGTGAGAAACAGTGCATTTACTCATGGAGCAATTTAGCAGAGCACCTGGATCTTACCTGAACTCTCCTCTTCCTCCTCTTCTTCCTCTTCCTCACTATCCTCCAAGTCGCTGTCCCTGTCCTCGGCGCTCTCCTCCATGGTCTCCTCTCCGTCTCCACCTCCTCTTCCGTCCTCTCGTGGGCGCTCCACCTCTCCGTTGGCCTCAGGGAGTTGTGACTCTCCTTCCGCCTCCATCTCCTCCTCCGGCTCCCTCTCAGGGGGCTGGGCTGGCATGGCAGACTGAGAAACATGCACACACAAGTTTAAAAGTCAGCCTTCTCTGGCGGACTGATGGTCGTTTTATACACTGGCTAACTCATTCGGACTTTTATATGTTTGCATTTTAGTTGAATAATGATGAGAGAAATCACAACTGCCTTCCACATACTGACACTGTTGTATGGCGGGAATTATAGATTTTTTCCTTATCGATTAATCTCCAGTTTATTAGTTGATGAGTAACAACACTGCAGCTGGGTTATAGTAATAGGGTTAGTAAACAGTGTACTGTAAACCACAACAAAGAGCACAGAAAGCAGATAAAGGGATGACTCGTATTATTATTTTGGTGAAAGACCAACTTGTCAACTGAATTGTAGCTGATAAATGAAAAATATTTTTTTAAAACACTGGGACATCGCACTACCGTATGGCTCCCGTGTCTGTCAAGCCAGATAACAACACACACAACAGAGAAAGACCGGATATGACCCGGTTTTGTTTGTTAAAAAGCAAAATCAGATAACTTATCTTACAGTTCACTATGAGCGCTTTGTAAAAAAAATATTACAAATGAAATAACATGAGGTTATGTCCTTCAACAGGTTGCGTTGTACATTAATAGGACCTTTATTTTGTAGCATTACCGGAAGTACCATTTCCATAACTTGACCACTGGCAGCTTCCGTGATGTCATACAGTAAGAGACGTTAAATCGACGGAGGTATTTACAGTAAAAATAAAGACCAGAAATGAGCCTAAACCATTTAAAACTGCCTGTCCATTTACCTACAACCCACAATAAATTAACCGAGACTCCTCTTTGCATTTTTATATCGAATTAGTGGCAGATAAAGCACAGTGAAGTCAAGTGCAACACTAGCTAACGATTGAAACCACAGCGAGGGACAGACTGTCTGTTCATCACACTGTCCGACTGTTGAAGTTCATTTATCGGCACATATTCCCTCTATTCGTAGGAACAGCGTTTAGATGACATTAATCCCAATGAAGCATCGCCTCATTCTGCCTCCATCCTCCAACTGTACACGGATTAACAAGTAACGTTATCTGTTCAAGCAGGCAGGCGGAGCTGTTAGGAACAGAAAGTCTTCCCTTCTCCGGACCCCTCACTCACCTTCTCCCTCTGCTCCGCTGCACAAAGTTAAAGTATCATTTTCTATATTTACAATTTAAAAAGTACTTCCTCTTCACTTCAGTCCCCAGTTCGACACTTTGCCGGACTCTACAACCCGTCATCCAACCAATCAGCGCCGAGCCGTAATGCTGTAGGGACCAATAGGAGAGACCACCCCCAAACGTAGCTTGTCCAATCAAAAAGCTCAAGCAGATTCATAAGGCCAATCAGAATCAAGTTCGGTGCTGTAATCCATCAGAGTTGGCCAATAGGATGGACTTTATAGAAAATACCGCGCATCTCCTTTTTTTCAATTTTAAAATAATAATGGGAAGTGAGATTACACATGCATTATAATAAATACAACGATAACAGGCGTGAATTATTACAATAATACATGTTTTTTTACAAAAATGGACGTATCCCTTTTAATTTATAATATTAAATCATGTTTTAACAAAACATGTTTTGGTTCAATTCATGAAGTTTCAATCAAATTAGTGTTGGTAGATTCATTTTAAGAATAACTTATTCATCGCAAAGGAAAACAAATCTGTAAATGTCATAAACAATATGATGCAGCTCGTGTTAAGCATCCTTCTTACATTAAAATAAAAATATAATTCAGTTTTTTCTTCTTTTTTTATACAGTGCAAAATCATAATATCATTTATCTCCGGGCCTTTCTCATATAAAGCAGGTATATACTGTACTCTTTATCATGACCAACAATTCCTAGACCTATTTTTCTTCCCAGCATGGTGTAAATCATTTCTTCAATTAACCACAAGGTGACACTAAAGTAATACAACATGTCTAGACAGCTATTCAATTGATAAATGTCGGAATTCTTATCATCTAGGCATTTTTTATGGCAGACATTTTGGCCTGTTATTGCCTGAACAAATTGTGGATGGAACAAAAACAACATTCATGTTATTAAAGCATCTGTGCAACCTACTGGGGAAAATGTTTTCTATTAAAATAGTCCTATAAAGAATGGTTTTTAGTCTTTATTTATTCATAGAAGTTGTTAATAAAGCACATAAAGAATATAAAAAGTAAATTAATTATTTGTTGAACTATGTGCAAGCTAATATTCTGTTGTATAATTGTAGGTAAGGCTAAGGTTTTCTGAAGCAAAGAATGACAAATGAACAAAACAACAGTATTTCCATTTTACATGTTTTTATTAAAGTTGCATAAAAGTGTAACAAAATTGGGCAAAAACAAGACCTGTTGTTGATATTGCTACATTTGTTTGTGGTTTCGATCTAATCATTGTCCAAAAAAAACACCTTCGCTCCTTCAATCTGCACAGTTTAGCTCTTGTATTTAGCCTCAATGATGATAATCAGTATATATATTTTTTTTTTTGCAATTTTCTCCAACAGTAAAAAAACAGACTCCTCAATAACAGTCTAAGAAGATATAATCCAAACCTGGATTTAGACAAGAAAATCCACTCAAATTCACCTACTGATTGAGCGTGCCTGGTACAATCCGATGTCTCCGAAATAAAAACGCAGACCGTGCTTGATTTGGAAACCCCACTAGGAAGGCAAAAGCAATCGCACCAAGGTGTATCTGAGTGGATTTGTGTTCAGCTATGTTAATCCAAGGCATGGCATCAATAAGTGTCATGGTCACAATAAAAACAGCCCAGTATTCAAATGGTAAATGCAAGGAACATTGTTTCATCTAAACAAAATCACTGTATCAAGGCCTAAGTATTAAACACTCACTTCTAAAAAGAAAAAAAGAAATCTCATTTAGTTTTCCAAAAAAGGAGCGACAGGAGATTCTCCACATGTCGCAGTTCTGCTCACGTGTTTAGCAGTTACCTTTTAAAAAATGAATGTCTCCCGTTTATTTGGTTTGTGTAACATAAATAATACCTAAGGCAACATCTGTTTTTTTTTTTTAAAGGAAAGGAAAAAGGATTGAGGGAGGGAGGAGGAGGAGGGGGGATGACAGGCAGGAAGGACAGAGCAGCAAGATGAAAATGGGCCTGTGTGTGTGTGTGTGTGTGTGTGTGTGTGTGTGTGTGTGTGTGTGTGTGTGTGTGTGTGTGTGTGTGTGAGTGTGTGTGTGTGTGTGTGTGTGTGTGTGTGTTGGCACTGAGAGAGAAAGACAGACAGTGGAGGTCTGCTGTCTCCGCAGGTGTTAGCAATTGGCCACAGGCATCACAGCTAATGCGTCTCCGATTGGACGACGGGCTTCAGCCTCTGATCCGATTGGCTCAGATTGAGAAGCAGATGGCTTATCCTCGCAGATGATTGGCAGCTGCGGAGGGGGAACTCACACAGGTCCTGTGACAGCTCCCGACTTGTCTCCCTCTCCCTTTCTCTCTCAGTGTGTGTGTGCACATCTGTGTGAGAGGCAGCTGTGTTTGCTAGTGTGTTTCCGTTTTCTACGCCCCGAGGGTGGCGTGTGTGTGTGAGTGAGAGAAGAAAAGGAAGGGTGGATGCATTTAGACAGCTTCAATGTAAAACAGCGGCCTCCATCCATCCCTCCCATTGGTGGATCTACTGGCATGCAGAGGGCAATACAAAGTCTCGACACCAACGTGGAGCTTTAAAGACAATTTCACAGCTTCCACGTGTGTGTGTGTGTGTGTGTGTGTGTGTGTGTGTGTGTGTGTGTGTGTGTGTGTGTGTGTGTGTGTGTGTGTGCTCCAAATGGACGCCTGCCAAACACAAAACAATGTGGTGGACTGAAAGATAAACGAATAAAAGTGAGGAAGAGACACAGAGAGGGGATGAAACAAAAGAAAACAAGGCAGCTTTGTTCTGGGACCCCCCTTTCAGACTGTCAGTGTGTGTGTGACAAAATCAAGAAAAACTAAACCAGGAACCAGTCCTATTTAAACAAAATCTAATTTGTCGTACTGAACAGCAGAATATACAGGCCGGAAAACACTCCTATTATGTTTGTTGCTGTACATTATGTAGCAACATGTAGCATTTAGCAACACGGACGCACAAATGCATGTATGTGCTTCTAAAGAGCCTCTCTTACAACTGCACTACGCTTTGAGGAAAGAAAATAAACTTTTCTTCCTTAAAAATGTGTAATTCAAGCACACCCACCCTAAAGAGAACCTACTTCTACTCTAGCCTCAAAGGAAGATTTGTAGTCTATAATTAGTCGAACCGTTAGACCACCACAGCAACTTTGTTTTAAGGTTCAACCACTATTTCCAGGATCGGATTTCTCTCTTTGTTGGACTCAAATTACGTCCCATTATTTCTCGTGGTCAAAGGGTTCAGATTTTCTTCCATAAAATGACATAGTGCAGATCCACACACTAAAAAAGGACAGTCTTTAAATGCACCAGTGTAACACATGCCTCTGATTATGGGAGGAATGATCTGAAAAGACTGTACTGACCCCGCCAAAAAAGTCAAGTGAATATCCCCCCTGCACTGAAAGCATCACAAGAATCACGGTTGGCAAATCATCTAAAAGAGTAACCCCATTACAAAACAAGGAATCTCATTATAGACATAAGCAATGATTAGGCCCTGCTTCAAGCTGATTGGCTGTTTCCGCCTTCCACTCTTTTTTTGGCCGTCGGAGACTCTTTCCCTTGTTCGTCTTCCCACTCTCAGCCGCTCCTCTCAGTAATTATATGACTCCTTTCCTCTTTTTCTCTTCCTCCTCAGACAGATGGAGGGTGGTTTAAAGGGAGGGTGGGAGGAAGAAGAGCTGGAGGAGGAAGAGGAGTAAAAGCCAAAACAAAGGGTGAAGGACAAGGAGTGGAAAAGGGAAGGAAGGAACGTGCCTGGATGAAGCCCAATGAAACACTTGTTGCTAACTTAACTTGACCAATCTTCGCTTTTTAAGAAGAACGTCCGACTAACAACACAGGAAGGTCACACAACATGGAAATCAAGCCACTAATAGGGCTGGATCCAGGCAAGAGGAAACAAGAAGATGCACAATGGATGGAGACTTAAAAAAAAAAAAATGGAGAGCAAGGTAGGAAGACGAGAGGTGGAGGGGAGGGTGTGGGTGAGGAGGAGGAGGGACGCATCATTTCTTCTGAGGCGTGGAGAGCTTCTGCATCCCTCGGATCTTGTCCAGCAGCTCTGAGACGAAGTCCTACGGGGAGAGAGGAGGGACAAAACACATGAGTCAGAAACAAACAGTACATAGATATAAGGGTACAGTGGAGTGAAGAGAGGAAGGAAGGTAAAACAAATCTCACCTCAGTAGGCTTAAAACACTCGACCACTAAGTCCTGAAAATAAATAGAAGACAGTCAGGATATACATCTCGCCTTTGGCATTTTTCTGCGTCTTTGCACGAGTTGACATAAGTGTATATTTGTGTCCTACCTTGACCCTGGCTCCCCGCTCTACGTCACTGGGCATATCCAGCAGCTCGTCCACATCGATCTCCAGCTCTGGGATGGCCTCCTCCTAACACAAGAGAAAAGGAGGTACATTAACCTCTGAACCACACAACCCAACAAGGAATTACAAACGCATGATTTCTTCTCATAAAACGCCCAAATTAAACCATTTGTCATAGCTAGAACATTTAAAAGCAGATTTCTTTGGTCAGATTTTCCAGATTCTGATTGCCCTTGAATGAATCATGTGTAACCAACCGTTGTGTATAGAAAAATAACCAAATCTGAGCTTGAAATTGTGAAAAAATCTTCTTGTTTTACGAGTCCCATTCAACAATTTACCCAAAAAATAATTGTTTATATTAATCAGATCCTGGAAAAAACACTATTGATTCTGCCCTGAAACCATGAATGAATCAGCTAAGATGTCATGTCACGAAATATTCGAGTAAAATGAATTGAACTGTTGATACACAGATCAGAATCTAAAAGGTTTCTTTAGGTGACAGCTCTCTGGCAGCACACACACACACACACACACACACACACACACACACACACACACACACACACACACACACACACACACACACACACACTAGTCAGTCTCTCTTGATGGATTAAGAACAGAAAGGATGATGCAGATTTCTTTCCTTGTTTTTATGTTATGTGGTTGTCTGCAAATAGCCCAGCAGAGGCTCTGTCTGTGTGTGATGTGGTGCAGTGACTGATGAATGTTCATCACTGAACACTAGAGGGAGCCGTCCTTCTATCACGAAAGACAGGAGAGACAAAGACACTTGGATCCAAAATAGGAAATACAATTGTTCAATTCAAAACGTATTTGCCTAGATGCACACAGCCTGTAAAAAAACGTGTTCTGTATAAATAACAATGTTGTTTTTTTTGTAACCCAATGAGCCCTGGAGAGGTGTTAGTAGGGGTATTTAGTTATCTTCATACAGAACCAGGCTAGTTGTTTCCATTTGTTTGCAGTCTTTATGCTAAGCTAAGCTAACTAGCTGCTGGATGAGGCTTCATATTTAGCATACAGATCCTTAGGGGTTTCAATCTTGCAATGTTATCCTAGACTGTGCTGTTATATTTGCTGTAAAGTGTCCTTACTGTAAGGTAATTATTATATGTACAGCACTTTGGCTTGACCAAAAATCGTTTTAAAAATGTGCTATACAAATAAAACTTGATTTGATTTGATTTGATTTGAGACAAGATATCGAATAAGCATATTTCCAAAATGTGGAACAGTTGCTTAACTCATCTACAGTGCATTGTTGAAGGGTTGCCTGTAAACAGCTGACTGTAACACTGCTGCTGCCAAAAGTGAACACACACTCCTGTTATTCCCGTAAGGGCGTTCCTTTGAAATCAACACAAAGTCAGAGAATAACTTCCTCCATTTGAAATTGGCCTGTATTTCACATCTAACCAGAAAAAGCTGCAATAATTGACAATGCACACTTTTAATTCCAGCAAAGCAATTATCGGCTCATACTGATAAACTGACCTCTAATAAGAAGAGCCCCCTTGCCTCTAGAGCAGAGATATCTAGCTCATTAAATAAATGAAAGTGAAAAGTGAGTTCACTGTAAGTTCGTCTTTGTGTCTCTCTTCCTCTTCCTCGCCACGCCTTCTCCCTCCGGCCAATCAATTCCCTTGTTTTCCTGATGAAGTGCTTTAATAGTCTCCCTCTGTTTCTCTGTTTCTCCATCTGTCTCACTCAAGCACACAGGCTCAGTGTGTGCTATCAAAGCCGTCCACCACTGGCAACAAGACACACGCACACACAAATACTCGTTTCCCCCTCTTTTGCTGCTCAATTGCTACCCTATATTCATGTCATTCTCTAGGAATCCCACCCTCTCTCCCGTCCTCCCCCTCGGTTAGAGTTGCCCACACCAGCTGTCTCTGCACCTGCCCGACTGCCCCCTATTCCACACACACGTACACTCCTTTATACACACACACACACACACACACACACACACACACACACACACACACACACACACACACACACACACACACACACACACACACACACACACACACACACACACACACACACACACACACACACACTTTTCTTTTTAAAGTGACAAGTCTCTCACATCTCACACACACATGGATTAAAGAATTATAAAATGAGCTTTAATACGTCTGAGCTGGATGTACAGTGGTGTGTGTGTGTGTGTGTGTGTGTGTGTGTGTGTGTGTGTGTGTGTGTGAGAGGTATGAGGATTTATAAGCAGGACAGCCTGTGTGAGATAGAGACTGGAGGTGACAGATAGACTTACTGTCAGCAGAGTAAAACACACACACACACAGGCAAGTTGGCGTACAGACATGTACTGTAGTAAGCAGCAAAAGGGTTCAATAAAACGTACACACACAATGTACACTATTAACACACACTCAGACACATTTTTGATTTTACAGAATTTTGGATTTTAAGCTCCTAAAAATTGACACAAAGGGGCAGACATGCTTACACTGCAGACACACTGACTGCTGTTCACACACACACACACACACACACACACACACACACACACACACACACACACACACACACACTCTGATCTTCACAACATGTGGGCTCCATGTGCTGCTACATGCAGTAAAGACAGAGGCGAGAAAAAACGTGGGAAAGACAAAGAACACAAATACAGAAACAAAATTCTGTAATGTGACTTTGCTCATTTTAGGATAAGAAAAACAGCTTTGACTTTTCTTTATGTTTATTTTTCTATATCAACAACATTTCATTTATTTTTCTGTGCCATACTAAAAGAAGTTGTAGATGTCTTGTAAATCTCTCATTGCTCATCCTGAAAGCGATACACATTGGCTCATATTTAATACAGCTTACTGGAAAATGATTTTAGAGATGGACTGTTAAATGTGCCGGGGGGGAAGGGAACGCAGAGAGGAAGGGAGGTAAGAGGTTAAGAAGCATCTCGAGAAGAGGGAGCAGCTGAGGGGAGTAAACCGAGGGAGGAGGGAGGGAGGGAGGGATGTTAAAAAAGGCCGGAAGACAGGCTTCAGAGAGGAGACACAAAGAAAGCGGGGAATCACGAGGGAGGGTTTCCAAAACAATCCTCAGACTGACTCTGTGAACTCCTCTGCAGTCTGCAGGGTTTACTGCCGGCTGCAGATGCGATCTGAGAGGTGCCTGCCAGATGTTGGCACACACTGCAGGCTGGTAAACAAAGCAGAGCCGTGTGCAACTATTGGAAGAGGCACATCGGATTTAGACTTATCTTTTCAGTACTATTGTTTTTGAGTCCATGTGAAACCTATAGTGTAAGAAATAGATAGAGAGAACATGGAAGTTGTTGCTTCTCAATCATCATGGCATATAGTATTTAAATGGAATGCCTCCAGAATGATCATTAGTTTATGGCATGTGTTACCTGTCTCTTGAAGAACATTTTCTCACAGGCATCCAAGGTACACAAATAAATCAAAATCTGAGGAAATTCTTGATAAATGTAAGTAAATAGAGGGCATTTTTAACAACTGTATCAAAACATCCTTGTACACACTCACACACAAGTCATGGAGTTTAATTCAAGTCTAATTTTTCCAGTCGTATGCTCACTACTTCCCAAACCTGTGCCATTGCAACCAAACCGCTCTGCAGCATGTTCATCTTCATCATACCTGGCAACAAGAAATACAAATGATGCCCACTGTTTCCTATTACTTAGAAAAACCAAGTCCACAGACTGTAAGTGCAAGATTTTGAGTAATACTCATCAGGGATCCATTTCTTGTCTTCAGGCGTTGTTGTTCACAGTATCTGTTCGTTGTCCCTGCAGAGATAGCCTTACTTTACTTTTGAATAGCTGTATCTCCTTTGCAAGAGAGGTTATGTCTGTTATATCTCGTGTCATAAGACTACACTTCTGTTGATGTTACATACTCGGAACTCTCCCTTTTCAGTCCGAACCAGCCTCATCTTAGAAACTATCTCTATAAACTGCCATATAGACGTTTTTAATTGTGGTCTCTAAATGTAATTATACTCTGCTGGACAACAAGCGTGCAAATATGATTCAGACAGCACCACAATGAGATTGAGACAGACAGCCGGACGGACACACTGTCTGTCTGCAGGCTGCCCGCAGAACCGAGCAGATGAGATGTGACAGTATGAGAGCGTGTGTGTGTGTGAGTGTGTGTGTGAGCCCTGGACAGATCAAATGGCAGCTACAGATTCTTCGTAGCTAAAACATAAGCCACACACACACACACACACACACACACACACACACACACACACACACACACACACACACACACACACACACACAAGTAGGTCAGCGTTCACTACTGTAAATGTTTCCGTAAAGGGAAGTGATGACAGAGAGCAATGAAGTGAAGTCAATGTTTCTAAAGGGAAGCTTGGTCAGACTGTAGTAAGGAATAATGACTCAATATTGAAAAAAAGACAAAATAACAAAGAAAATGTAGCTAAAAAGAGTATTTTTAAATACATTTGCAGTTACATTTGTAAAATATATGCTCACAGAAAAATTAATAATATAAAATGATTCACCAAATCAACTTTTAAGTCAGTACTCTAACTTCAAATCGTATTAAAACTTCCAACACCGAGACAAGTTTTCTGGTGAAATGACACACATACAGTATACTGCAGCTACAGGGTATGAACATGAAAAGTGAAAAAAGGGAGTGTAAAAATAAGCAAATAAATGAAGGTATGCAATGTTTGGGGCTTCAACTAACAATTATATTCATTCTTGATTAACAGGTTAGTTATTTTGTAGATAAATCTGTTAATCCTTTGGTATATAAAATGTCAAAAAATATCTAGGCGATCTAGATGTAGTTCTAAGGCGTGGTCTTTAAATGTCTTGCCAGTCATAACCTCGAATATATTGACTCTAATATGATATTAATCTGAGACAAAGAGGAAAGACCTATATTTTGGAGGCTTAAACAGCTTTTTGTTAAAAAATGAATTTATTGATGAATGGATTTTCAAAATAGTTGTTCTCTGTACATCACTTAATCATTGCA